ATTTCTATTGCCTGGGCAGACTGCCCTAGGAGGACATCGCTATGATTTATCTCAGAGAATGTTTTGCCTGTGTTCTCTTCTAGATTTATGGTGTCTTGTCTTATGTTTAAGTCTTTAAGCCATTTTGAGTTTATTTCTGTGTATGGTGTGAGGGAGTGTTCAACTTCATTGATTTACAGGCAGCTGTCCAGCTTTCCCAACACACTTGCCAAAGAAGAGACTGTCTTTTCTCTATTGTATATTCTTGCCTCCTTGCAAAGATAGATTGTAGGTGTGTGGAACCTTTTCTTAATGGCTAAAGTTTAGGACTGTGGTGGGTGGAGGAGGCAGCAGGGAAGTCAGAACCTTGTCATGCGATGGAGAAGGGCCCAGCACAGAGGAAAGAGCCAGACCCTGGAGCCTCCCTTAGGTGGCCACACCTGACTGGGGTGACAGGTGGGCCACCAAGTCTTCTGGGTCTGGGATGTTCAGCAGACTTTTTTGACCTGGTGTTCCCTAGAAGGTCAGGATGGAGGGGGTGCAGGAAAGGGACACTGAGGTGCTGTGTGTCCAGGCCAAGGGCTGCCAATGGCAGGGAGACACCAGGCTGGGGTCCAGCTCTGGGTTAGGGAGATGGCCTTTGCTCACCCACCTGAGGTGGGATGGGAGCGAGCACAAGGTGGGAGGTGGGAGCACACAAGCACACAGGGGTTAACTGAAGCTCGGGTGGGAGGGGGAGGAGCAAAGGGCGGGTCAGTGAGGCCCTGGGGACAAGGAGAGGCCTTAGGGGAGGGTGAGACGCTGGTTGAAGGTGATCAAAAGGTCCAAACTTCCTGTTGTAAATTAATTCATGAAGATGTAACATGCAGCATGGTGCCTACAGTTAATAATACTGTATTACATCTATCTTATATGTTCTCATAAGAAAAAAAATTGAAACTATGTATGGTGACACATGTTACCTAGACTTACTGTCTTGATCATTTCACAACATACACAAATGTCGAATCGCTATGTTGTGCACCCAAAACTGACATAATGTTACATCTCAACTAAAAAAAGGGCCCAGAGGGAGCTGAGGTCTGGGGTAGGGCGATGAGGCTGTGGGGGAGGGGTCTGCCCTGGTGGGAGTGAGGCTTGGGATTTGGTCGGGGGTGGGGGGTGAGGTTATGGGGTAGGGGTCGGCCATAGGGGAGGGTGAGGTCCGGGGTGAGCGGTGGAGCAGCCCTGCTGGAAGGGACCTGGCCCCCAACTCATTACAGGATGCCATGAGCCAGGTGGGGCAGCTGGGTCTGGGAGGGGACAGCAGAACTGGGTGAAATCTGAGAGGTGCGGCCACTTCCGGAGAGTTTTCTACCATCTCTGTTGAGTCCAGTCCCAACTGAACACTACCCTGCTGGGAGCTCGCTGCCCCACCTCATTTAGGGCAGCAGTGGTTTCGATAGTGATTCCATTTCCGCTGAAGATGATGAAATCTCCGTTGAGGGGGGGGTAATCGACACAACACAGCCCCCAGTGGGTGAGGCCTCAGCCCCACCTATGAGTCACATTAAGCCCCTCCTCACCCAGCGCCTGCCAGCCTCAGCTCCTCCCTCACCCAGGCTCCTGTCCTGGGCGTGGCACAGCTGTCACTCCTGGGGACCGCTTTCCGGTCCAGCCCCAACCGTGGGGCAAGCTGACTCTCTCCGGATCACTTTCACAGCTGGTGCTCATGTCAAATGGGCCTTTAAATGCAGAAAGGCCCAGGAATCTGCTTCAACTGGCCCCAGGACACTTACGCGCGCACACTTACGCACAGACACACAGGCACGCCTGCGCACACTCGCACGCTGACCGCTGGCGTACACACTCGCACACACTGGTCTGGCCCCTGGAAGTCCCATATAACAACACAGGCTGCTGTCCTGGCCTGTGAAGCTGCTTTCAGAAGAAGCTTCTTTTCCAGTTTCTGGGGACGGACAACTGAGAACGGCAGCAGAAGAGTTAACCAAAGAAACGTTACGGAGTGAGTGCAGCGCAGGGTGGTCGGATTCCCTCACCTCGCCCTGGATGCAGGCAGGGCTGCAGACTCATGCAGAGCTGTGGAGTCGGAGACGCCCTCTGAGACCCCCACTCCGATCCTGTGGTCCCAGCCCCTGCACAGGGGCCCGTGGTGGTAACTCCTGGGAGCCCTGGACTCCCTCAGGTGTCCCTCCAGAAGGTGCCCAGACCCCCTTGGACTCCTGACTCCCTTGTATCCCCCGAACAGACTGGAAACAGCAAAAGGCGAGGCCCCAGCTTCTACCTCCTGTCTCATCCCAAACAAGATCCGGATTGGGGTGAGGGTGGAACCCTGACTCCCCACTCAGAGTGTAGGATGTGGCCAGCTGCCAGGGAAGAAAAGGGGGTCCTGACTCATTTTTTTTGCCGCTTTTAGGTCCAATCCGCCCGGCTGACCGTATCAGACATGGGGACGGGTGCTGGTTTTGGAGCACACACAGAAGCATTGGGGCAGGTGGCAGCTGTTCCCCTGCCCCCACCTGTCCGGGGCATGCCGGGACTAGGGGACCCTTGGGCAAGCCACAGGACAAAATGAAGACATTCTGAAAAGGCTTCAAGGACAAGGACAAGCTGGGGTGAGCACCAGAGGGCCCCACTGCTGGAAGGTACCCCCATGTCTCCGTCAGTGCCAGGACCTGTCCACCCCCCAGGAAGCCAAGGCTGGTGTGTTGTGGGCTCAAGGCAGTGGGCCCTTGTCAAGAGGGGACACAGCCTCAGGGCTCTGCTGGCACATGGCTTGCTCCCCTCCAGAAGTCCAATGAGCTACCTGGGCTTTTGGAGGGTGCTAACAACGTCCTAGGGCAAACCCACCAGCACAGACTGCAGGGTACTATTTTAGATGGGAGTGTGTTGGGGGACCCGGGAGCAGGGGACACGCAGGAACCAGGGAGCACCAGCTGTAATGTGCAACCATGACAGAGAGGCCAGGCTGGAAGGAGGCAGACGTCTTGGCCACCTCTGCCCTGCTCCGCGCAGGCAGGCTGTGCGGTGAGGAGGGGCTACTTCCCAGACAGGGTGGAGATGCTGGGGGCAGATTCTCTTCCTCAGGGGAGAAGGCAGAGTGAGAAGGATGACCATACAGCCAGGCCCAAGGATAACTTAGTTTATGGGTCAAGCCAAATGCAATGCAAAGTTGTTCTGTTCTTTTTCTTTTTTTTTTTAACCAAAATAAATAAATCAGATTTGTCCTTGTGAGGGGTCAGGGGAGCTGGCCCCTCGGCCTAGTGCTGCCCCTCACTCCTGCCCCTCCTCTCCCCCTCTGACCAGCTTTGGCACAGCAGAGAGAAGGATGCTTCAGGGTCTCCATTGTGTCACAGGGAAAGGAGGCTGGAGCCGGAGGGGAGGGGAGAGCAGGCTCCAGACAAGCGGCCCTGGAGCAGAACTTCCCGGCCACACACCCGCCCCGGGCCCCATGTGCCGCGCAGCCCCGGGCGGGTGGAGCCCGCAGGGCCCCCACGAATGCTTGGGACCCTCTCGAGGGGTGGAAGCGGACGCTGCAGAGCGTGGACCTGCCCTCTCTGTGAAAGGTCAGGCCACCTCCCACCAGCCGCCCCTCAGCTGTGCGCTCGGTTCACTGCACGGTGAGGGGTCTGGGGCTCAGCCTGGGGAGAGGAAGCCACCCTAGTCTGGGTGCAGGAGCCCCTTGCCGGGTGACGGGGATGCCACATGAGGCTGGTCCTGCGTGGCGAGCTGGGGGTGGGGGCAGGTCTGACCCTGCCAGGACACCTGCGGGGGGGGCGTCCTCCTCCCG